CCGTGTAGTTCATTCTTGAGATTTAGGGTTTAGGGACACAGCTGTCACATGGGCTTCCTGCCTCGACTCGACACGGCATTACGCCGACATACGCTAATCGATCACCTATGCCCACCCTGAACACGGTGATTGCTTGCCAGTTCGTGCGCAGGACCTGAGGACCCTGATTGCTGCAGAACCATGCAGACACCACTGAACATAGATAGGATGCCGGACTGGCTGAGTTCGAAGCATCCAGGCCAACAGCAGCACCAGCAATGCAGAGGCCAGAGGCGTGCCGACTGCCTCTTCAAAATCACCACGAAGCCCCAAGCCAAGCATGCAAGAATACTTATAGCCTTGACAGGCGCTCTTCACGGTCTTGGGGGCATGCGTGCCTACTGGCTTGTTTAAGCCAGTGAGTGCTGACTGCTGCCAAGTCCAAGCCAGCAGATTTTGTGGAGTACATGTGTTCTAACGAACACAGTAGGAACGAACGAAGTACAACTTGCAAGTGTATCGACATGCCGGCTCCCTGCCCACTTATCTATGTTTCTCTCTCCCGGTCATGCCGATCTAACTCCGGGGCTGCCACGGTGCATGTATGGCGCACGCAACGAGTTTACCTCCGACTTGATGTTTCTGTTATCCTGTCTCAACTGCACGTTGATGAAAGGGTTGCTTTTTGGGACACCTCACCCAAGACTCCAATACAGGCAGACTCGGGCTAGACTCGTCAGACTGCTCGCATGGTGCCTGCGATTTCTCATGCCATGCGGTCCAGCAGCACCTCAGAAGCTGACGCCGCGGACATGTCTGCCCTGGGGTCCGGGTCTGCATGTCTCTGCGAAAAATTGTAAAAGGTTGACAGCTTGCGCCAATGCACGTGTGCAGGAGCTGGAGCTCCGCGGCAACAGGACACGCGAAAAGTACGATCGGCGACATCGGCATAGGAACAGATATACATATTTCACGTACATGTCTACACCCACATACCGACCTATTCCCCTACGTAGATTGCATGCATTCATACATATCATACATAATATATATATATATATACAGATATACACATGCATACATACATACATACATACATACATACATACATACATACATACCATCCATGCATACCATCCATGCATGCATACATACATACATACATACATAATTACACACACACATACATACATACTTACTTGCATTCTGTACAGATGTGTAAAGATAACTATAAATATAATTGAATTTTGACATTGCTCTAATTTTCAGTACAGTTATAATGATACAAGTATATATATATATATATGTATACATATGTATACACACATATGTATATCATACATACATACATATATATATATATATATACACAATATCCATATGTTACACTGACCGCATATGCCGCCTGTAGCCCCAAGCCTTACAACGACCATTACGATGCTATCCTTGGTATATAGGTTATTTACTTTTAACTTATAAACTAGACCTCGACCCACAGGCTTGTTCTGCAAACATTTCTCCACCATGCTGACGCTGATTGTTGAACACAAGGTTTACCTGCGGACCGCACACTTCCCGTTGACATGTTGCAGGTGTGTTGAAATATTAACAGGCAATGTCCGACACAAGAGACCACGAAGCATGCATGGACCAACCACATCTGCAGATGTCGTGCCTGTCTCCATGTCGTCCCCTCTAAGCCCTCCGACTCGCTGGGCCCGGTGCTCGCTATAGGCGTTAGCATCGCCCTTCAGTTCTGCCTCGCGAGCAGCACCAAGGTCCTCCGCGAACTTGCGACAGTCCTTCGCACACAGAAACAATAGGCACGCTAATTACCTAGCCAACCACTGTCACCTGATTGCTTCTACTTTTGTATATGTGCACGGGCCACAGGACTTGAGGCAGTATGTGCATACAAATCAAATGCAATCTGCATGCATCCGCCCGTCCCGGCGATGGTCGAAAAATACCTTGCGCACGGTGGGGAACTCCTTGTCCAGGTCACCTGCAATAAAACCAGCCCTGAAGTGCTCATGGAACACAGCCGCGGCAAAAACCACCAAATTGACAGGCTGTGCCATAGGAAACTTAAACTAAACACTATCCATTGACCCTGACCGAGGCACACTCTTGACGAAGCGCGATTACCAGCTGCTCGTGTGTGTAGTAGGACTCTGCCTGCAGTGAACACGTGCCTCTACTCAAGGATTCACCATGTTCAACGACAGCCAGTCGGCCAAGTGAAGCTGAGATTAGTCTTGTCCAGGCACGGGCCCGAGCAAATCTGCAGGCACAGCATGAAGCCGTCCCTTGCGAAAGCCCTTCGGATAGGTTTGTCCGAGTGTGGATAAACCCGAAATTTATAAGGATCACAAACAGAAGAGTTCCTGCTGAGCCAGCTCATTCATTCTGCATCGAATCAACCAGGACAGAAACCCGGGCAACGTCTGATGCAGTTCGGAGCCTGCCTTCTTGACAATGGCCTTGAGCTGCTGCGCACACTCCTTCATGTAGGCGCTCAAAGTCTCCTGCGTCGGCCATCGCAGAAGCCGCATCAGTTTGTGCATCTGAAGGTGATGTGACGAAAACTACTGCTGATTAACCAGCTTGCGCTTCCAATCATTCTACACCTCTGCCGAGCCTCTTCCTCGATCAGTGACATTCAACCTCAACCTGTATCCGCACTAAAACTATTCAATAAATAAATATATTTCTATATATATATATATATCTATCTATCTATCTATCTATCTGCATCATCTGTCATCCATCGCAACACCAGGTTTTGTAAGGCCAGGGCATTGTCGACGGGGCCAATGGTGGTGGTGGCCTGCGGAGATCTGCTGGACGAGTGAGCACTTTGAGGGCAACCGGGAGTAGTTGTAGGGTGCCCTCGCTTCCTTTCCACCTGGAGGTCCTGTAACAAAGTCGAACCAGAAAGTTTAGGTGGGCAGTGGCCGGACAAGTTACTTCAGAGCTCTGTCACAGAACATGTCCGTGTGCGAAATCACGGAGTACCAAATTCCAAGATACAAATTCAACTTAAGGAAATTTCAAGCCCATACTGAGACTCCGCAGCAGTTAAGTCAGACTGCGATCCGAAAAAATAGTCCATGTGGTCGCAGGGTCGCACAGTCTGCTGCTTACAGCTCTAAGCTGGCGCGTCCTTGTCGGCTCTTAGGTTTGCGCACTGGCGACTCAACTGTTGGAAGCGCATCACCTGTTGTCCTTCTGATCTGTAGACATAAAAGAAATTCCCGAGGCCACAGAACAGAACGATGTGGTCTATTGGAACATTATCTCGCTCCTCGCCTTCCTCGATCAACTAACGGCATCATCAAGTTTGTCGTTCAAGAACGATCACTGGCGCTGTCCTTCTGGACATTGGGGGCATCGTAGACGGACAGCGTTGTGCCTGCATTGCAACTGAATCGTGGAGTCCGGCCTATCAGTCTACGAAGCCGATCGCAGCATGGCACGTGGTTGGGGCCCCTGCTGGTTGTGGTGCCCTGGCTCTTGCCTTTGCTGCATGACAGCATGACTCGTGACAGTCACTGCTTCTATTCCCTGTTCCGCTTGTAGGCCTACGTACCAGTAGAAACGCAACCAAGCTCAGAATCCCTGCTGCCTGAAACTCTCGACCCATCAAGATCTCTGCCATGATGCATCTAGTTCTTAGAACATTCAGGAACGAAAGACAAGGCAGGCATTCACCGTTTCTGAACTTGTGGAAAGACTACGTCACGGCGAAATCAACCAGATCCAGAAACTTCGATGTAAATAACAGATTCGATCACATGCCCGAGCCACTATCGGCGGATTCCTTCGTTTTGTCCTTCTCTTTCTTGTCGGCAACTGGTGCTGCTGCTGGTGATGCTGCCGGCGCAGCTGCAGGTACCGCTGCTGGTGCTTTCTCCTCGGTTTCATCCGTCTTCTCTTCTTTTTCCTTGGCAGTGTCTGCTTTCTCGGACTTCGCATCCGCTTTCTCTTTGGCAACTTCCGACTCTTTTTCGGACGTCTCTGCTTTCTCTTTGGTCTCATCCTTTGCCGTCTCTACTTCCTTCTTGGCGTCTGCCTTCTCGGACTTCACATCCGCTTTCTCCTTGGCAACTTCCGACTCTTCTTCGGACGTCTTTGCTTTCTCTTTGGCCTCATCCTTTGCCGTCTCTACTTCCTTCTTGGCGGCTTCCGGTTTCTCCTTGGTCGCCGCCGCGTCCTTCTGGAGGTCCTGCTTGGTGACCGGTGTCTTGTCCTTGCTTGTCGCCTCCTTCTTTGCAGTTTCCTCGCCCGACTTCTCGGATGGCTTGTCTGCAGAAGATTGCTCCTTGCTTGCAGGCTCAGCGATCTTCTCAGCTTTGGATTCCTTGTCCTTGTCGGACGATGCCGTGGTCTTTACCTCAGCTTCGGCACCGAGCACTGACCGCTGTGAGTTTTGCACAAGCAAAGTCAGCAAGACACTGACATGATCCGAGACAGCAAAAAGGGCTCGCTGCAGGATTGCTATACAACTGGGCTAGACTCATGGCTGGTCGGAAAGCCAAAGACACTGCGGAATCATCGGTCTCCTTCTTGGCTTTGTCAGCGGGCCCGTCAGCAGACAACTGTCCAGACTCGCTATGCTGGCAAGTCGCACAACAAATTACGGCTCAACATGCATCCCCAGAAACATGCGACTGCCACAAGTCAACGGCTCATTACAACTACATGGCACAGAGAGAGAGAGAGAGAGAGAGAGCCAGAGAGAAAAAGAGAGAGGGAGAATGATAACAACAAAAATTAATTAAGCCACAAAAACAATGCTATAGTTCCAGTGTTCCGATAGAGCAGAGGTGTGGATGGGTACAAGTATCTCGGCCAAGTGCTGCTGGCCTTTGCTCAGAACACTTCAAGTTTAAACCCCCTGCAAGCGTACCCGCACATCCCTCCGTTCATCTCATCCATCCAACCATTCCACGCAAACCCTCGACTACAAATCCCAATGCCAGTACGCCATAACCCTTCAAAACCCTCCTTCAAACTTTTCTATCAACATTTCGGAAAACTCTCCCGCGAATCCTTCCATACACCCGTCTTTGACGCGGCCAGAATTAGAAGTACTGACGGGAGTAAACACAACCCCACGTGCGGCGCACCCGGACAGACCGGTAACGCACGCAGAGAGTTGTCATTTCGCGGCGACTCTGCGGCCAATGTATTGGAATTTGAGAGGTGCATCAGAAAGGGGTTATATCCCAGGCAGGATCGTGCCGGCAACACACGTGCAGAGCCACTTTCCATGTGCCGCGACTCCCGCAAGCCCAATGTTAAGAGACCTTCAACTAAAGAATACTCACAATGAGGACGTAAGGGCCGATCTCCCTCAGACCACACACATCATGCCTTGCACCATCACGGACACAACCTCGTATCAACATCATCACACTATCCCACCCAAGCTATGTGCATGAAAAATCCTTTGCCACCCTCTCGGGAACAAAGAACCAACAATCCCAACACTGATAACAATAAGGCATCGTGCAACCCATAGTTGTCCCGACAACCAGGCGCATGTGTCATCTCGAGAAGGTCTTAGATGCGTCCAAGCAGCTGCCAAGTCCTCGAGCAAAGGGCCTGCAGGTTTGACGCGCAGAGAGCTGGACCTCACATGCAGGCGGATGGAGGTATGCGAACGCTTCCTGCACATCCTGCACCGCCTCACCATTTCGATGCAGCCAGAATGCGGCAATGCAATCCACACAATATCCAAAGCTACCTCGGGCTTCGTGCAACCTTGAAACCCTTGAATCTCAAGACCCTGCGACAGACTTCAGGCCTCTTGAAGCGGCTCCCATCCACTAGGGAGAGCAGCGCCAGAAAGACCTGAAACCAGCAGCGTCCATTTCTGCAGCGTCTGTTGCTTGCAGTCTGTTACCTCTTCTAGAAGAAGAAAGGGCCGGATGTCGGCGCTTGCGCAGTCGGACTCGGCCGGATCTCGCCTGCTTAGGCCTCTAGCATCTAACAGCCTATAGAGCCTGAATCCTTAACGCCGAACACAGTTCTCATGATGAAGGATTCCGATCTGCCACTCCCCTGAAGAGCACGTATTGAGATCATGCAACTATATAGACGTATAACTGAAATTCAGATGAGCGAAGACACAAAAACACGAGTTCAATGTAGCCCAGAAAAATCGTTCTCAAGACTCAGACGGAAATGTCAAGACGTCCAAGCAAAGACTCAGTGCTGCGAGACATGCCCGACAAACTGTATTACCAACAACGGCCACAAAAGTAAGAATATATATATATATATATATATATTCATGCTGTGAGTGTTATTTGCGAATGATACCAGATGCAACGATGACAAATCGAACCAGGATTGAACATTCCATGGTCCTTGTGACAAAGTTACAAAATTGTACTACTGCTAGGTTGGTAGTCATCATGATAATTGCTGTGCGGATAAGCGGCCAGGGAGAACTTCATTGCGCGATGTTCTGTGAGCTCGAGCGGGCTGCTGGTGCCGTCCCAAATGCTCGGGCCAAGAACAACTGCGAGGTGCCAAATACGCAGCACTCCCGACCGGCTACTGAATGTTGACTAACTGACGAACTGACAGGATAGGCTTGCTTATGGCGGATTCATTGTTGGGCGAAGAGCGGGGGTCGAACAAGTATTCCTCAGCTTGTTCAGAAGCGTCGCTTCGGATTCGTCTCGCTTCTGCACCCCAACGGCACTTTCAAACATAGTTGGTCAGCGAACAGATCTAAACAGGATATCACGCTTGAGGAAAGCCTCGACCCATTGCTGTGTCCGTTTTGGAGGAGACCAAGCCCGGGACTCCGTCCCTTGGCAGTCGGGACTCTTCGGGTCCACCTGCATCCAGAGAGGGCATCGGATTTTTGGGGAGCTTCCTGGCATGTTGACTCGCTTTCGCGTTTCGGACAAGAACCTTCATCTCTGACGGCCTACATGCCTACCTGGACCAACCTACCGCACATGTCACATGAGTTTTTGTGCATATACCGATACCGGAAGTGCGCCAATGGTGTGGAAGGGCTCCAGCCTTGGCCACAAGGTCAACTCGGCCGCGAAGAGGGTCGCGGTACTTCCGAAGATCCTGAGGGTGAGATGGTGCAAAGAGACTCTCAACCCTGCTATCTGTCCTGTCATTGCGACCCCAGTCACGGGTACCCGACAGAAATTATGCGACTCTCATCGTGACCCACTGGGAGTGTTAAATAAAAGCAACCCTTACACCCAAATTTCCCGAATACAGCGAAAGCAAGAACACTTGCAAGACAAAATGTTTGGGAGATACATGAAAGAACTGCCATACCCACCGAACCATTCCAAGCACATCAAGTTGCTGAAACCGTGGTCGCGCCGTGAGCGCCTGGATATCCTAGCACCCATGCCCATGCCTCAATCTCTGCCTCTTGAAGTCGGACTGTCTGTCCTACCTCCCTGCAACCCCGTGTTGAGGTTTGGGGCCTAAACGCCTACACCAGGGGCAATGCCAGTGTGGGCCCCCAAGGGTGGTGCCTCGTCGCTCCGCAATCGCTCGAAGCCGGCCCAGAGCTGCAAACGGCACGTGAGCGGCGGCACCGCCTTGTTCCGGTGCTGCAGTTGATCTGCGGATTTTCTACTCAACTCTATATGTGCACGCACAGCATGATAGCCGCAATGATAGCCTTCACTTCCCGAGAGCCTGCGATCCTTTTTTCGCGAGAGTCCAGCTGCCCCCACCATGAAAAAAGACTTCCGAAACGGCCGAAACTGGTACTGTATTCATCCTGGGTTTGTCTCGTATGTAAGGTATCAGTACATGAGAACCCAAGTAATTCTGTTCTCTTAGGCCGTACCTGAAGCTGTCAGGAAGCATTGTATGGATAATCGTAGGCCTTGATACCAGTAGCCGCACAGGCGGCCATCGATGGTAGTAAAAGCGATTGAGGCAGTAGGCAATTCACAAAAACAAACAGAACCAGTTGGGAAAAGTCACGATGGAAGTAGTGTGAGTAGTAGTATGAGTAGGAGTAGGA